CCTTTTGTATTGTTTCAACTATTTATTACTCAAATATGTACTTTTTATACGAATAGTTTTTGACTTAAGTATAAACTCTGATAATGTGAAATCAAATCGAATATCGATCATAGAAATTAAGCGAAAATTGTTTTCTGCAATCATTATAATGATGACTGACACATCGAATCATTTAGTAAACATCGTGTCAATTTTAAATACTTAAATTTTCAATAAAATGTAATTTCCAATATGGTCAGCATTTCATGTCTCCGAAAATCGTTTCCACCATTTCTTGAAAACAAATGGAAATAAAAGATGATTTTGTAAATTACGTTTCGTTTCTTAAATGACATTAGCTCCATTAATCATTTCTAAGCATGCCTGTGGATAAACTTTACTTTTGTTAATTGTTTCTATTTATTCAATAATGTCTATAAATAAGTTAGATTTGGACATTAATTTCATATTCAAATGTAATTTTTTAAATCAGAAAGAAATCAATTTTCAGCCTTTCCTTATGTAATCAGCCCGCCTCTTAAAGTTAAAAGAGTAAACGTATAAAAAAAGCATAAAATTTATCTCTATTCTATTTTTTTCTTTGCTCTTTTATTTTCATGTGTACATAACCTAATTTATTTTTATGAGATTAAAAAGAAGATTTTGGATTGTTCAGTGGAGACGAAACTTGAATCAGAAATCTATTGTACTCAAACTACCTTCAGGGTTGTGTAATCTTTTAATAAACGTCTTCTTCTCTTACTAGTATATTACTCAAAAGTGAATGAAAACTTATTTAAATCCCAACTAGGAATTTTCGATTAAATTTTTTAATTTTGTTGAGTGCTATTGAATTCGACTCGAGTCGTGTTCCTATAAGTTCATTTTATCAATTACACTGGTCCGTTGCTAAGTATTTACGAAAGCTTCTACTTCAATGTTACATTGATTCCATCATGGACATATGGAATATTGGAATTTCCAATGTCTGAGCTTCCAGTTCATTGGATGATGGAACAAAAAAAAATGTTTGTTTAAAAATGAAAACTTCCACAGCAGTCTACATGTAACATGCTTTTGTCGTGTATAGAAGAGATAGGAAAAGAAAATTTTGTATTCATTATGTGTCTTTAAAATGTAAAAAAAAATTTGTAAAGGGTATTGGATGAGAAAACGCAATATGAATCGATTATTATTCTTTCTCGTTTTCTTTCTACATATTGGCATTAATTGAATTTTTGTTTAAAATTTTACTATTGCACAACTCTAATCGAAAAAGTTTTCAAATACAGAAAAATTTTAATGGAAATAAATTTTTATTAATGATTTTTCATATCCTAATATTTTGTACGAAATATAAGTTTTGAAGTTAAATGTCAAAAAATATCCTTTTAGATTAAAATGTTTACACACAGATCATGGTATTTGTAATGAGGTAAAAAGAAAGGCATTCCATTTTGGCGACAGTATATTACGCATTATTCATGAATATAAATGTTTGTTTAGGGACTTAATTCTTAAGATTTTGAAAATTGTTAATGTTATTAAGCAAAAAACATTATCATTGCATAAATTATTTTATTTTTGGTAGGTGAATCCTTCATTTCATTCACACACTAATTAAAGTTATACTTATTCTTAAGATTCAAAGATACCTTACGTAATCCAAAATAATAATAATAATAATAACTTTGTTCATTGAAGTATCATCTGTATTGATGTAGTAAGAAAGAAAAAGATATGCATTCAAAAAGAAAAACATGCAATAAAAGATAAGTTTATCAATATGTTGCATATAAAACAACTGGTGAACAAAACAAGAAAATCCTTATTCATTCAAAGTTGCTTTTTTTGTATAGTCTAGATATGTGTAACAACATACTGCTTTTATACGTTATTTTTTGTCGCAAAAGTATTCACGCGTTGTTACGATTTCAAATTACATTGTTAGCGGTATGTAATGTAGAATTCAGAGAGTGAAAAAAGCGGAAAAATAAGTTTGACGCTATAGTCAGTAACTCATTCGCGTTCCAACAATAAAAAGGTAGATGTTGAAATAAATTTCATATTTCAAAGAGCTCTCATCATGACAGAATTTCCTGTTTGTGACAATATGCTTGAATAGATTGTAATGTTGCTGTATGTAGAAATAAGTGTGAAGTCAAGTGTTAGATATTTGAAATTTAAAGTGAAAATTTATTCAGAATAGAGGAATTGTACAGATTCTGTGAAGCGATTTATATAAATCTTTTTACATGTTCAGTTGAAAATTTATCTCATTTTATGTAAAGTATCTATTTGTTAACAAGATCATAAAGATTTAAAAAAATCTGGATGTGGTTGTTAACAGCAATTGGAATTATAGTATATCCTACATCTTTTTCTCTATTGAATTAATCTTTAGATATACACGAACAATATTCAATAGGATTTCATGTAGACAGTATAGAAAAACTTAATAGGTTCATCAATATCTGTGTATATCTATCATATTCACAAAGGAAATGAAATAACAAACAAGGCAATTTTGCATGAAATGAAGCAAATTTTCTGAATAGAAAAGTTTTTTTTTTTCATTATAGCAACTAATTGTGAGATGTTATGTAGCACCCTTCCTTTATGTGTCATTAAAGTGGTGAACATTTTCCTATCATCACATTTAAATGTATATCCAATACAACCAAATTGTGTGAAGGGTTAAAAGGGTTGTCAATCTTCCTTTTAAAAATGCCATTAAAAAGGAAAATGACTCTTCATGAGCTATAGAAATAAGGAAATTCTTTTCTAGTACTCAAAAGGGCACACTGTATGAATGAATCATCCCGTATTTTTTGCCTTTCCGATTCATTCTACGTGCAAATACTCATACAACATGAAACGAATTGAGTATTAAACAGTGAATGGAACATATAATAATTTGGAAAATCATCAAAGATGGAAATTGAGAAATCAACGAAAGGAAATTTGTTTTCTTCATATTTTAAAAGCTATTTCCAAACTATTCAGATAAAGAAAGTTTTTTTTTTTCATTTTAAAACATCATTCAAGTGAAAAATTTTTATCTTTTAACATTTTGATAAAATATCGGATTGTCGGGAAAAATGATATTCAATTTCTTTTTTTGGGTAATTTGGAACGAGTTGTTCGTAAAAATAATTAAGGAAAATCTTTTTTGAAGTTATTTTCTTCCTTCATCTGCCATGTGAATCATTATCTTTTATTTAAAATTTCACCCTAAAATGCTTAAAAATCATAAGTAAACGACAATCAACTGATTGGATTTAGTAAAGTGTTTTCTCTCAAATATAAAATATGTGTGAATTTGAATAAGAATCTTATGTCACTTATTTTGATATTTTGACACGTATCAGCGGTTTTCGCAACACTTTGAAATTTCGGTCTTAAACCTTAAATCAAAATGATTTATGCGAACATTAACCTTTCCATTTTAGACTTGTTTTAGAACCAAAATGATTTTTTTAAGTTTAGAAATCCTTTTCTTCCGACATTGTTTTGGCAAAAAAGAAATAAATTTTCTTGTATCATTATTTATAGAGTTGAAGTCTTTAGACTAAAGATAAAACTCGTTGATTTTCTTAGTTTGAAAAGAATTGAAATAATCTATAAATGAATTTTGTACAACAGCTTCAAAAAAGCAACAAAAATGTTTTCAAATATTATGATGAAATAGATTAAAAATGTTGGTTGAAGGATATTTACGACTGGGAAAAATAAAAATTGGAAATAAATGAATTATGAATGAAATATTAAATTTTGGGCCCGCCAATTTTATCACAGTATGCGAACGAATTTATTGGATTTTTATTACAGCTTGACTGCCTGTGGCGTACTTTTTTCATAGACACAATTCTCTCTTTTCGATTTTTTCAGTTGGTAAACTTGATTTTGTATAAAAGAAACGAAAATTGTTTTGTCGGATGAAATGAAAGGGAAATTATTTTCTGTATTTTAGAATGTCTGATTCTACTTGGCGGCAAAAAAATATTTGCTAGCCATAAAACAATGTCTCAAACCACCCTTAATAATACTCCTACATTTGTCTCGTCATAGAGCGTAATTTTTGAAAAAAAAAACAAGAATCTTGAAAATGAGTTTTTAAAAATAACAGAGCCAGGGGTGGGGGTGGGGATTTGGGGGACAAATCCCCCAACGTAAACAGAAATTTGATTATTTTGCTAGGGTTTTTATGAAAAAATCACAAAAATATCCCCCCCCTAAATTTTTCCATACAAAAAAAATTTATGTCCCCCCCCTCTTCAAATTCCTGGCTACGCCCCTATGTGGAGCTAAGCTAAAAAACACAGATTTTTCCTATTGCAAAATGTGCTGCAAAATTTCAATTAATATTTTAAAGGTTTCATTTTTTTTAACCTTCTAACAATGCAAGCTAGCGTTAAATTTGATTGATTTATAAATGAAGAAAAATGTAATTTAAAATCAAAAAGAATTTTTGAGTATATTAATATTTTTGGATAAACAAGTATCGTTGTCAAGTATTGATTCAACGTGTTGTTTTCATAATATTTTGAGATTTCTTTATTTCATTACCTTTACTTGATTTGTGCTCCTTATTGTGCACAAAAAAAAAAGATTATTTTATGGAAAGCTTAACGTGTATATGTGTTGAAAGTCTCAGCAATGTTTTATTATCGAAAAGTTAATTGGATTTTACGTAAAGGCAGGAAACATTTTCATTTTCAATATCTCCATAAATATTCATTAGAACATAATATCGTATAAACCATAAATAACTATGCTCCTTTTATTTAGAGCATAAAGTTGTTCTGGTATATATGTGAGATGAATTGGAAAAATAAAGTTTTTCTGAAATAATAATGTAGGTTTCCAAGAACTTGATCAAGTTTTAAGAAATAGATAATTTTCATATTCACACAAAATTTTCAAATTTTGATTTATTTTGAAATTATAGCAGGCTTTTCTTGAACAAAAAAAAATTGAACTTAAATTGGTTTTTTAAAATTTTAAAACAACTTTTAAATCTCTTAAGCAAATTGGAAGTTAAAAATAATTGGATAATTGGAAAACTTTTGACATAAAGATGACAACGAAAACGAAGAAATCCAATATGAATAATACTACTCGAACAGTTGAAATGACTCAAACAAATGTAAGAAAAAATGAAGACATAGAAATCGAATACAATAAGTATTGGTAAGATAAACATTTATTCTGAGAAGCTCTTTTTATTTAATTTTGATTCTTTATTTATTCCATTAGTATCTTAATACGAGAACTGGTCGATGTTTTGCCGGAAGATTCAAAGCATAAGCCAAAGATAGCAAAATGGGTTCATTTACTTGTAAATCCGCTTAACGCAGCACAATCATTAGAAATTCGTGAAAAACGAAATCAATATCTTTTCATTATTTGTTGTGGATTACTTACTGGAAACTCAAGTTCATTTTTAAAATTGGCAAAAGCAAAACATTTAAAAGTTGATCAGTCTAAAAAATCAAAATATGTCAAAGTTGCTGGCATGAAAGGACAAATAGCTCCTATGAAACCAACAATAGCTGATGAGCATGGATTTCCTCATTCTTTGAAAAATGCTTTTGATCCATTGAAACTGACTAATATTGAGGATGTTTTTTGCAAAGCTGAATGGGAAAATTTTTGTTATTGGGAGAAAAGACTTCAAAGTATTAAAGATGAAGAGAAAACTTTCAAGAAATCTTCCACACATCGGAATCAGCGAACAAAAGCTTTTGAGAGAAATTGTACTATTCATGGATCGAACGAAAAGTGCCCCAATGATTTGAAAGACGTCAAAATTGGAAGATGTTTGGATAAACAGTTCGAGTATTTGTTAGCATTAGCAGAATTTTACAAAGAATCGTTTAGATGTGATGCAAACAAAATGAGTCGTATTAGCTTATGGCTTCAAGCACTGTCTAAAATCGATGTAACATTTTGTGCTCAAATGAAAGGTATTCGAAATGACTATGCAATGATTTTGGTTGGATATCTTGTAAACAGTGAAATGAAAGGACCATTTGAAGACTTGCCGGGAGAAAATTTACAGCCGTTGATGAAAGCTATAGCTACCTACGCTGCGAAGCGTCAAATTGAATTGGATGATAAATCTAAAGTACCATTGAATCCGGCAAGTGATACAATTGAAAATTTTATGAATAATGTTCCTAAAATAGACGAAGGAGCGTTTGCTTTGTTATCACTTACCGGAAATCTCTTTAAAATGAAATCTCATCATAATTTTTGATTCGATTTATCTCCTCCCAAGAACCATTGAAAAGTAAATAACATAACAATTTGAGTTTGAATTGATATTTTCATACTTTATTGATTTTGTTTTCATTAAACAAATATTTTACTTATTCGTACTCTACCGCAGAAGAATTCTTCTTATAAGTATTTGTTCAAACATTTCTTCATTTTTTTTTCGAAAAATAGCTTTTTGTCTTGAAAGAGTGGGGTATAAGAATGAAATAAGGCAAACATTTTGATATTTTATATTCTGGTCAATTACTAGAAACCACATCAAATAAAGTGATAGAATTTTTTTTTCTACAGAAACATTCAATAAAAACAGCTTTGGTGATATCATAAAAAAAACTTTATGGCTTCTCATTTTTTAGCTTGTTTCTGATGTTGTAGTAAAATCCATTTTATAAGCTCCAATTTTTTTTATATGTTTGTAATCGATTTGATTTAGCATATTCCTGTTACAGAATTTCATCAGGTCGCTTTTGAATTTGGTGATTTTCTACAATATCTGATAAAACACTACATATGATTTTCAGCGCGTTACTTCACTAAATTTGATGATGGTTTTAAAGTATTTTCCGTATTTTCTTTGTTTCATTGAATTTTATGTAAAAAAAATATAGACCATAAAATAAATTGAAAGCCTATCTAATATAAAGCAATATAAAGTATCACAAGTGAGTATAAAAAGGGAAAGATTTTTTTATATTCCTTAACGGCATAAAAACAGTCATAATTGTATGGTTGATCAGAAAATCGTTTCATGATACCGAAAAGATAACAGACTTTAATCGAAGTATCACATACGAAGAAGGGTAAGGAAGAGTTTTGATATACTTTTATTTCATAAATGCTTACAACATAAATAGTTGATGAAATTCAACACTGCGTTTAAAAATATCCCAAATAACCAAAAGGTAGATCAATGTATTCCATGATAATCTTCCATGGATGATACATATGTATTATCCATGTATTATCCATCAGAAGATGATGTCCTATGAAATTGGAAGATAAATGGACAATGCAATAAGACATCAATGTAAGACATCAGAGGAATACAAATGGAAAACAAATGGATTACTTTATTTGGATAAAAACAAGTGCTAAATTCCAGATGTTATTTTGTATTTTTCGTTTATTTGTGTAAATAATTGTAAAAGTATTAGTGTGTTCTTAATTAAACATTTCTAGGTATTATAAATGATATAGAATGCTAATATAGATATAAAATTGATATTTTTTTGAAAAAAGCCTACTGTGATCAAAACCAAAAATGCTTAAAATTGCATATTAAAACATATCTGGCTATTACAAATGATAAACTAAGGTAATAAAGACATAAAATTAATATTTTTTTGAAAATAGCCTACTATGATCAAAACCAAAAATTCTTTAAATTGCATTTTTAAACATATCTGGGTATTATAAATGATATAGAATGCTAATATAGATATAAAATTGATATTTTTTTGAAAAAAGCCTACTGTGATCAAAACCAAAAATGCTTAAAATTGCATATTAAAACATATCTGGGTATTACAAATGATAAACTAAGGTAATAAAGACATAAAATTGATATTATTTTGAAAATAGCCTACTATGATCAAAACCAAAAATGCTTTAAATTGCATTTTAAAACATATCTGGGTATTAAAAATGATAAAGAATGCTTATATAGATATAAAATTGATTTTTTTTTTGAAAATAGCCTACTATGATCAAAACCAAAAATGCTTAAAATTGCATTTTAAAACATATCTGTGTATTATGAATGATAAAGAATAGTAATATAGAGATAAAATTGATTTTTTTTGAAAAAAACCTACTATGATCAAAATCAAAAATGCTTAAAATTGCATATTAAAACATATCTGGCTATTACAAATGATAAACTAAGGTAATAAAAACATAAAATTATTATTTTTTTGAAAATAGCCTACTATGATCAAAACCAAAAATGCTTAAAATTGCATATTTAAACAAATCTGGGTATTATAAATGATAAACTAAGGTAATAAAGACATAAAATTATTATTTTTTTGAAAATAGCCTACTATGATCAAAACCAAAAATGCTTAAAATTGCATATTTAAACAAATCTAGGTATTATAAATGATAAAGAATGCTAATTAAGATATAAAATTGATATTTTTTTGAAAAAAACCTTCTATGATCAAAACCAAAAATGCTTTAAATTGCATATTAAAACATATCTGGTTATTATAAATGGGCAAATCCACGAAGCTGTGGAATTACAAAAATCGCATTCTAATTATTCCTCTACTTGCTTAAAGTTTTTTTGAAAAATAGAACACCGTTATTATTTGTTTATCTTTTTTGTTGAAAATAATCTTAAAAATTAATTTAAAGCACAGTTAATATTATTTAAAAGTCATTAAAAGGCATCGGAAACATCTATTTAATTCAAATTTAATTAACTATCGAAAATTGAATAAGATTTGAGCTCAAAAATGTCAACAAAATTTAACGGAAATTTGTAATTCAAATATTTTAACGGTTATAAAAAATTTGAACTAGTATATTTCTGTGGCAAAGCGTTTTGTGTGACTCAGGAAGAAAATTTTCAAGAAATTAATTAATTTATCAGCAAATTTCCACTAAGCATCTACATTTTGCTAAATTATCTAATGCTACAACATGAAAGGAACAGATCTTGTTGATCAATGTCGCTTAAAAACTTATATTTTTTGAGATAATTGAATTTTTCGATGTTTTCCGCTAAAATGTGACTCAGGAAGATTTACAAAAAGTCAAATTTCTCTTTAATTAACGATTATAGAGAAGCAAATTTTTTTTTATGTTCTTCTATTCACATCATTGCATTTATTAAAACATTCATTCTTTTTCAATAATGTGACATAAGAGAGAAATAATTACTTTAAATTGAAAAATTTTGTTAAAAAAATTTTTTTGTTTCATGGATTTGCCCAAATGATAAATAATGCTTATAAAGACATAAAATTTATATTATTTTGAAAATAGCCTACTATGATCAAAACCAAAAATGCTTTAAATTGCATATTAAAACATATCTGGGTATTATAAATGATAAATAATGCTTATAAAGACATAAAATTTATATTATTTTGAAAATAGCCTACTATGATCAAAACCAAAAATGCTTTAAATTGCATTTTAAAACATATTTGGGTATTAAAAATGATAAAGAATGCTTATATAGATATAAAATTGATTTTTTTTTTAAATAGCCTACTATGATCAAAACCAAAAATGCTTTAAATTGCATTTTAAAACATATCTGGGTATTATAAATGATAAATAATGCTTATATAGACATAAAATTGATATTTTTTTGAAAAAAACCTTCTATGATCAAAACCAAAAATGCTTTAAATTGCATATTAAAACATATCTGGGTATTCCAAATGATAAACTATGCTAATAAAGACATAAAATCGATATTATTTTTGAAAATAGCCTACTATTATCAAAACCAAAAATGCTTTAAATTGCATATTAAAACATATCTGGGTATTATAAATGATTAATAATGCTTATATAGACATAAAATTGATTTTTTTTTTGAAAATAGCCTACTATGTTCAAAACCAAAAATGCTTAAAATTGCATTTTAAAACATATCTGTGTATTATGAATGATAAAAAATAGTAATATAGAGATAAAATTGATTTTTTTGAAAAAAACCTACTATGATCAAAATCAAAAATGCTTAAAATTGCATATTAAAACATATCTGGCTATTACAAATGATAAACTAAGGTAATAAAGACATAAAATTATTATTTTTTTGAAAATAGCCTACTATGATCAGAACCAAAAATGCTTTAAATTGCATATTAAAACATATCTGGGTATTATAAATGATTAATAATGCTTATATAGACATAAAATTGATTTTTTTTTTTGAAAATAGCCTACTATGATCAAAACCAAAAATGCTTTAAATTGCATTTTTAAACATATTTGGGTATTAAAAATGATAAAGAATGCTTATATAGATATAAAATTGATTTTTTTTTTGAAAATAGCCTACTATGATCAAAACCAAAAATGCTTAAAATTGCATATTTAAACAAATCTGGGTATTATAAATGATAAACAATGGTAATATAGACATAAAATTGATATTTTTTTGAAAATAGCCTACTATGATCAAAACCAAAAATGCTTTAAATTGCATATTAAAACATATCTGGGTATTATAAATGATTAATAATGCTTATATAGACATAAAATTGATTTTTTTTTTTGAAAATAGCCTACTATGATCAAAACCAAAAATGCTTTAAATTGCATTTTTAAACATATTTGGGTATTAAAAATGATAAAGAATGCTTATATAGATATAAAATTGATTTTTTTTTTGAAAATAGCCTACTATGATCAAAACCAAAAATGCTTTAAATTGCATATTAAAACATATCTGGGTATTATAAATGATAAACTAAGGTAATAAAGACATAAAATTGATATTTTTTTTGAAAATAGCCTACTTTGATCAAAACCAAAAATTCTTTAAATTGCATATTAAAACATATCTGGGTATTATAAATGATAAAAAATGCTAATATAGACATAAAATTGATTTTTTTTTTGAAAATAGCCTACTATGATCGAAACCAAAAATGCTTTAAATTGCATATTAAAACATATCTGGGTATTACAAATGATATACTAAGGTAATAAAGACATAAAATTGATATATTTTGAAAATTACCTACCATGATTAAAACCAAAAATGCTTTAAATTGCATATTAAAACATATCTGGGTATTATAAATGATAAAAAATGCTAATATAGACATAAAATTGATTTTTTTTTTGAAAATAGCCTACTATGATCGAAACCAAAAATGCTTTAAATTGCATATTAAAACATATCTGGGTATTACAAATGATATACTAAGGTAATAAAGACATAAAATTGATATTTTTTTGAAAATAGCCTACTATGATCGAAACCAAAAATGCTTTAAATTGCATATTAAAACATATCTGGGTATTACAAATGATATACTAAGGTAATAAAGAC